AATATATTTAATATTTGCTTTAATAAATATTTTATATATTTTTAGGAAATAAAAAGACAAATAAACTAAAAGTTAAAGTATTAAGAAGCATTCTAAATAAAACTGAAGGCTTCATGTATCAAGTTTTTGACATATTTTTTTCACACATTACATTATTTAAAAATGTAAATTTATGATTTTATTTAATTTTATTAATTTTTTATATACTTTTATTAATTTTAATTAATATTTTATATATTTTTAAATCAAAAAAGGTATTTTACAAGGTAATCTATATATTAAAAGTATAATCTATCTTAGAAATTTATTAAAACACCCTTAATAAGATTATTTTTATGTTATTTTATTAAAAATATTTTAATAAATTTATAAAACAAATTACATTTTTAATATATAATACAAATAATTATTTAAAAATCTTTTTTTAAATAATTAAAAAAAAATTCTCCTATAATACAGCACAACACAACATAATACAACATTATACCACCAAATTAAGCCTAAATTTAAACACCAAATTAAAATTTGTCTTATAAGAGGTAGAAAGTATATACTATACGTAGTCAAAGAAGCCGATTAGTTTAATTAAAAAATTTTGCCCACACTAGGGCATCAATTTTTGCCGACATGATTCAGATGAAGATAATTATCAAGCAGAAGAGCTAGATCCATTCCAGCTACCACGTGTTAATTAAAAATGAAAAAAGAGTTGAAACAAAAAAATTAGAAGAAAAGGTGCCAGAATATTATACTATCATTCAGTTTTTGACTTGAATTAGCTTGACTTTTCTCTCTTAATTCTGAGAGTTTTCTTTCTCCCTACGGTAGGAGCAAAATGTACTTTTTCCCCTATTTCCACTTCCTCAATAGACGGTGAATTCCAGTATCGATTTGACTCGTACGTACAAGATCTAGTAGCGGCGCTTGATGGAAAGCTAACATTGACGGCCGATGAGGATGTTGGGCTAGATTTGGATGCTGAAGGGCCAGTAGATCAATCTGAAGGAGGAGCAACATGGTGCCTGGTGGGCAAACTATTAATCAGGAAACGATATAATATGGAGGCATTAGAAAACACTTTGGCCAGTGTCTGGAAACCGTAAAAGGTATGCATATGCGAATCCTTGGTAGCAATCATTTTGCTTTCTATTTTGTCCATCCTATGGACATGCAGCGGGTGTTGGCGGAGGGCCCTAGCACTTTGCAAACCATACTATTGTACTGAAGGAGGTACGCGGTGGTAGACGGGTGACAACTGAGGAACTTGTCGAACACTACTGTAAAAAGGCCTATTTTTCAGTGCATTTTAAACAGGAAAATACTTAAAATGCGCTGAAAAATTATTTTTCAGCGTTTTGCACTAAAAAATGTTAATTGAAAGAAAAACATGTGAAAAATAGTTATTTTTCATGGTAAAAAAATGCGTTGGAAAAATTTTACTAATATTTTCCAACGCTGCTAAGTGTTGAAAAATAATTTTTATCTTAAATGTACATATAACACTATTTTTCAATGTTGAGTGCTGGAAAATAATGTCTAAAAAATTTAAAAAATATGTACATTTAAGGAAAGTAGAAGAAATGAAGATGAAATGGAAAAGGAGAAGGAAGAGGAAATGGAGAGAAGAGGAAAGGGATGATTTAGATGAGAAAGTGAAATATATGATTGGGGTAAAGGAAGAGAGGAGAAAAAAGAAAGGGAATTCAGATGAAGGATGAGAAAAATGAAAGAGAAGAAAGAAGAAGATGGGAGAAAATGCTAAGGGAAGGTTTATATAGATAAGTATTATTTTCTAGCGCAATAATGTGAGCGGGATTTTGAAAATTTTACAAGGAAAACAAGGCGCTTGAATGTTGGATTTTAAATTTTAGAGAAACTCATTTTCCAACGTATTACGCTAGAAAATGATGTGGGCGGAATTTTGAAAATTTTATAAGGAAAAAATGACACTTGAACGTTAAACTTTAAATTTCAGATAAACTTATTTTCCAACGTATTCCGCTTGAAAATAACCTGACCAAATACACAGGCACATTTTCCAGTGCACTGCACTGGAAAATAATCTGAACCAAATGGGCACTACTATTTTCCAGCACATTGCGTTGAAAAATAACTTGAATCAATCTAAACCAAATGGATACTACTATTTTCCAACGCATTGCACTAAAAAATAATCTGCACCAAATGGACACTACTATTTTCCAGCACACTGCACTAGAAAATAATCTGCACCAAATGGACACTACTACTTTCCAGCACAGTGTGTTGGAAAATAATCTGAACCAAATACACAGGTTTATTTTCCAACGTAATGCACTAGAAAATAAACTACACCCATTTCTACCTTTTAACTTTGACGATTCTAAACATTTTCCAATGCGTTGTGCTGGAAAAAAAGTGAAATATTTTTTTTGATTTTTGAAAATTTTTCTTGTCAACAATAACACTAAAACATTATTTTCTAGCGTACTATGCTAGAAAATAAGAAGGCACCAAACCAAATTATGGTGCTAAATTATTTTTCAGTGCAGTGAGTTGGAAAATGAGTTTCACTTAAAAATTATTTATGGATTTTAGATATTTTATACATATTTTTAATTTCCAACGCTTGGCGCTAGAAAATAATATACTATTTTCTAGTGTAAATTGCGCTAGAAATTAGTTGGTTGAAAAAAGTCAAATTTTTAGTAGTGGAAGTGCCGTTTTGGGTCCAAATTCATGGTTTGCTGTCGGATCATTTGACAACGCGATGGGGAGGCGGATTGGAGCAAAGATAAAGAATCTTGTTGATGTTGACGCGGGAGATGGTGATGCTTGTTGCTTGGGGATCAGATTTCGTTCAACTCTGAGTAGGTGTTGATACTAGGAGGTCGCTTTGTCATGGTATGAAACTATATCTGAAAGATGGACCACTCTGGGTGGATTTTAGATATGATCTCCAAAACTTCTGCTACTGCTGCGGCATGCTCGATCATGTTGATCGTGATTATGAACTAGGCTTGGATACGAAGATGCAGGGTAAACTTGAGCTTCCATATGGAGATAAACTAATAGTGCTGCCATGTTGCCTGCAGCAAGCAACATTGTGAGTATAGGATAGTGGCTTCGGGATGGCTCCGACAATTATGTGGCAGACGAAGCTCGGTGGAGGCATTCGAGGCCAAATATGGAAAGCCAAAGGGCACAAGAATCGAGCAAATCCCATTATGGTAATCCTAGCCTTGATTGGCGGAATGATAAGCTCAATTTGGTGGCAGAATCGGTGGGAGGCAATCATGCACTAAATCAGTTAACCTTAAATGGCAATGATAAGCCTTGGAATGAAAGCTCTAGAGAGAGGTTTTTGCGAAAGGAAAGTCAGGCGGATAAGAATATACTAGCAATACAAGGGAACTGGTGAGAACAGAAACAAAGCTGATTACGGAAGAATTTATAAAGCAGGACTTTGAAGGGGAATGCTATCAACAGAATTTAGATCTCTTGGGCGAGAGGAACGATGATTCAAATTATGGGGCCGTAAAAGCCCATACTTCTCAAGTTTCAGCCTAAATGGCATAGAGTGCAGAAATGGACCCAATATTTGTCTTCTCATTAGGGCTAAACGTTGGGGAGTCAAGATCTAAGACTAGAGCCTGGAAGAAGAATGCATAACATGGTAGGCCTCCTATTCACTCCACTTAGAACCATTCTAGTAGAATGAAGATGAAGGAGGAGTTGAAAGAGTAGATGATGAGTCCAAAGGTAACTATTGAAAAGAGATGTAAAGGAATGGAAGAAGAAGGTAACATAGTGATTCTAACGACAGGTGTTGCTATGTAGGCCTACCAAACACCATGAGTCTGTTTTGCTGGAACTGCTGAGGGCTTGGGAACCCTCAAGCAGTTTGAAGTCTCATTGAATTGGTGGGACTAAAGAAACCCACAGTTGTGTTTTTTTGTGAGACATTACTGGACAATAGAAGTATGGAGAGGATTTGAAGAAGACTGGGCTTCCAATATTGTTTTACAATAGCTAAGAAGGGACGTAGTGGTGGTCTATTAATGATGTGGTGAAAAGAAGTGAGATTGTCCTTACTCTCTCTCAATCAACAATATTGACATGGAGGTGGATGGCATTGGGGCGAGCAAATGGCGTTTCACTTGCTTTTATGGCTATCTCAAAAGACAAAATTGGAGGAAATTGTGGGCATTGCTATAAGAGTTGGCATCTAAGTCACCCCTACCTTGGTTCATTGGTGGTGATTTTAATGATCTCTTATATCCCAATGAGAAAGTAGGAAGAGTACCATAGCTTGACTAGATGATGAAAGGCTTCCAAGAAGTGATTGTTGATTGTGACTTGATAGAAGTAAAAATGATGGGCAACAAGTTTACATGGAGGTGTGGTTGAACTGAGGAAAAGTTGGATAGATGCTTGGCCACCAGCACATGGAAGTCATTTTTTCCTATTGCAAGGGTGAGAGTGCGGCCACCCTTTTCATCTGATCATACACCGTTATGGATTACACTTGATGATAGAAGGGATAGGTTGAAATTGAGAAGGTGCAAGTTTAGGTTTGAGAATATGTGGCTTCAAGACGATGCTTGTAGAAAAGTGGTGCAGTCTAGCTGGGATTCCATTGGTAAAAGTGGTGACTGGAATGGATTGACTCTAAAGATAAAAGCTTGCTCAAGTGATCTAGAACGATGGAACCACTCAAAATTTGGCCAAGTGCAACGAAAGTTGCGTGACTGTACACATGATCTAGAATTACTCAGGGCTTGCCCTCAAACAGAGGCCATTCAAATAGAGGAGGCAAAACTTATCAGTGAAATGGAGGAATGGTTGGAAAGGAGGAAGTGATGTGGAAATAGAGGTCTAGAGAGTTGTGGCTTCAAAAAGGGGACTATAATAATCGTTTTTTCCATCAACGTGCCTTTAAAATAAAATTCAAAGACTGATGGATGAAGATGGTGTATGGAGGACTGATTCTTTTGAGATGTAACAGATTGCCATGAACTATTTTATTTCCCTTTTCACCACAATATCTCTAACAAATCTTGATCAAACAATAGGAGGGATAAGGAGAGTTATCACTACAGAAGATAATGCTTATCTATTACGGGAGTTTATTGAAGCAGAAATCACAAGAGCTGTATTTCAAATGCACCCATCAAAAGCCCCTGGACCAAACAATTTTTCATCGAGTTCTTTCAAAATTTCTAGGATATTATCAAAGATGATGTGGTGTAGCCATGCCTCAAATTCTTAAATCAGAGAGATGCGTTACCCCCTAGTCTAAATTTTACACATATTACTCTTATCCCCAAGTGTGTAGATCCGAGAAACATGCTAGATTTGTGTCCTATAAGTCTATGCAATGTTATCTATAGAGTTTTAGCTAAAGCTCTTGCAAATCGATTAAAACATATGCTGTAGCATGTTATCTCTCTTGAGCAAAGTGCTTTCCTCCCCAATAAATTGATCACTAATAATGTGTTGATTGCTTTTAAGATTCTACATTTTATGCGACACAAGAAGAACCAGAAGAAGGGCTGGCGAGCAATCAAATTGGATATGAGTAAAGCTTTTGATTGCGTGGAGTGGCCATATCTCAAGCATATAATGTGAAGACTAGGGTTTGCAGATAGATGGGTATGTATGCTTATGACATGTGTCTCCTCTGTTAGTTACAAAATTCTCTTAAATGGCACAGAAGCTAGGAGAGTAATACCATCTAGAGGATTGCGTCAAGCCGGGCCATTGTCGCCTTATTTATTCATTCTTTGTGTTAAAGGACTAACAACCATGATTAAGGAGGGCAAATAGGCATTGACTATTACATGGGGTGAGGATTTGCAGATAAGCACTAGCTATTTCCCATCTATTTTTTGCAAATGATAGCTATTTGTTCTTACAGGCCACTACAACAGAAGCTACAAATCTGCTAAATATTTTACAGAGCTATGAATCAGCTTCAGGACAAAAGGTGAACTTGCAAACATCTTTTGTTACTTTTAGTAGTAATGTGCACCACAGGACTAAAAGGCAAATCCTCCAGCTTTTAAAGATGAATGAAACGGAGTAAGCGGGTAGTTATCTTGGTTGTCCAATGCATGTAAGAAGATTGCGCATGGTAACTTTCTTAATCTCCACAGCCATAAGACTGTGATCTTGTATTTGTTAGTGATCTTATAGAGGCTGACTCGTGCACATGGAAGCGAGAATTGATTATGTCTATTTTCACTCCTTATGAAGCATAATTAATCATGTCAATTGCTTTGTGTTAGACGAGGAGAAGGGATAGCTGGACATGGAACTTTACACAGAATGAAAGCTATTCAATTCAATCTAGTTATCATAGAACCCTTCATATGAGAATATTTCTTGCTGCTCCCTCCAGCTCATCCACAGACTTTCGTGAGCATCATCTATGGCATCTGAACATTTCGAAGAAGCTTCATCTATTGGTATGGGGTGTATATAAGGGCATTCTCCCTAAAAGAATTTGTTTCAGAGGAAAATTGTTGTTGATCTTGAATGTCTTATGTGCCATTAGGAGGTCGAGATTGCCACTCATTGTTTCTTATTGTGTCATGTAGCTTGGGCAATGTGGTTGGGATCACCCTTAAGCCTTCGAGCCTCTGAGCTCCGAGTGGACAGTTTTGCTAATTTTTTGATGCCATGGCAAATCTTCTAAATCAAGAACAACTAGAATTATTGTGTGTTTTATGCTGAAAATTATGGGACTACCAAAAGAGTGCACTGTGGGGCAACAAACTTATTGTGCCTAGCCAAATTATAGAAAAAGTAGTGTTCTTCTTGACCGAATATAATGCAGCCATTTCATCCAAGGGGAGAGGTGCCGCAGGTGTACAATGGATAAGTGAGACTAAATGGCGACTACCTGTAGTGGGTTTTACAAAGGTTAATGTGGATGGCATTGTCTTTGAGCAATAGAGACTGCATGGAGTAAGAGCAATGGCTCGTAATTCTATTAAGGAGGTATTAGTTACCATGATTTCTAAAGGACAAGGATTGCTCTCGGTTGAGGAAACTGAAGCATGTAGCTTGTGGAAAGCATTGAAATGGGCGAAGGACCTTACATTCAATAAGATTGTTGTGGAAACAAACTGTGCTAGTATAGTCACGGCAATCAATAATGGCACTCAAACTTTAAACTCCAACCTTGGCATAATTCTTCTTAACTGTAAGAACCTCATGGCCTCTTTTACCATTTGCTAGCTACAGCATATTCGAAGAACCGAAAACGCAGTAGCTCATGACCTTACTAGAAGGGTGCTTCAAGCCAAAGATGGTTTGCTTTAGGGCAGAACCCTTAAATCACCCCTCGACAAATATGGGTAGGGACGGATCCACCCTTAAAAAAAAAAGTAGGGAAAAGTGACACCCTAAAAGTATCGATCTACCCAAATCAATCATTATCTAACAGATGAAATCATCACCGTCATGATCTCCGTTTAGCTTGTGCCAATGTGTCCTTTTTTTACACGCTGGATGCTAATGTGTACCAATCCCGCTCTTTTCACACACCTAAACCTCTTCTTTGCGTGTCTTAGTTCTCTTCTCCCCATTTCTCTATCTGTCCTTTTCTTTCTGTCCTCGTTTGGTTCACAGGGACAGCACTGCAAGAGAGAACTAGCTTGTAGGGATCATGGGAAGAGCTCCATGCTGTGACAAAGCTAACATCAAGAGAGGACCTTGGTCCCCGGAAGAAGACGCCACCTTTAAATGCTACGTTGAGACCCATGGCATCGGCGGCAACTGGATTGCTTTGCCTCAAAAAAGCAGGTATCTTTCCCACTTCACTTATTTTTTTTTTTTGTTTTTTTCTGCTATTTCTTCTTCTTCTTCTCCATAAACATTATACAATTTTCTAGGGCTTAAGCAATGTGGGAAGAGTCGTTGTTTACGGTGGCTAAACTACTTGAGACCAGATATCAAAGATGGAGGTTTTACTGAAGAAGAAGACATCATTTGCTCTCTCTACAGTCAAATGGGAAGCAGGCAAGTTCATATTTGCTTTCTCTCTTAATCTAATTGGAGTTTACATTTCTTCTCTCTTTTTTTTTTTTTTTAATAAATAATTTAAAATCTGAACTTGGGATTTTTGTTAGGTGGTCTCTCATTGCTTCACAACTACTGGGAAGAACAAACAACGACGTCAAGAATTATTGGAACACCAAGTTGAAGAAGAAGCTATTTGCATCCAAGACAACCCTACTCCTCCAAAATACAACTCCCATTGCTGAACCTCCTCTTTTGTGTGTTCCCAAACCCGAACCCTTCAACAATTTCAATTATTCATCTCCACAATCCCACAATATTGTGAGTTATGCAACATTGCCTGTGTTAACTGATACCGGTTGTGGAGTCCTGACTAATTTTAATGGACCTCAAAGCCAGCTCTTTTCTTCACCAGATGTCGGTCATGGTTCCCAATTCGTCCTTACCCATATTTGTACACATCAGCATCCAACGTGTAAAAAAGGGACAAGTTGGCACGGGCTAAACGGAGATCGTGACGGTGATGATGTCATCTGTTAGATAATGATAGATTTGGGTAGATCGATACTTTTGGGGTGTCATTTGTCCTTGCTTTTTTTTTAAAGGTGGATCCATCCCTACTCATATTTTTCAAGGGGTGATTTGAGGGTTCTGCCTTGCTTTGGCATGCAGAAATCCCAGATTTCGTTACACACCTTGTAATAGGAGATAAAGCACTTGTGTAGTATTTGTATCTTCTTCCTATTGCCATTTCTATGAATAAAATAAGGTGCACAATTTTCATCAAAAAAAAAAAAAAAGGTGCTAGAATATAAATTTTGTTATTTTTTATTTAAAAATATAAATTTTATTTGTTTTTAAATAAAATAATAATTGTTGTTTTTTATTTAAAAATATCAATTTTATATTTTTTATGTAAGAATGTTAAATTAACTCTTTTATTTAAAAATTAATTAAATAGTAATATTGATATGTTAAGTGGTTTTTTTTATTATGTAATTAATTTTTAAATAAAAAATACAATATTGGTATTCTTAAATAAAAATAGTTAAAAATTTATTATTTTATTTGAAAACTAATAAAATTTACCTTTTTTTCTCTAATAATAAATATTATATTTTTATTTATACATTTTCTCAAAAATTAGAGAAAACTAAGAAGAATAATTGGGGTTTCAAGATAGTTTAAAAATTATGGTCATGTGGTTCAAATATGATAAGAATAAGCTGTGGAAAAATCAGCATCTAATATTGTCATCTTCCTTTCCCCTATGAAGTATTGAGTGCTCAAATTTTAAATTTGGAACCAAAATGGACCTAACCCTAACTCTCCTCCTGCTTCTTTTTCCCCTTCTTCTTTTGATCTTTTTCTCTTCATACTTTTGTTTTCTTAAAGCTTGTCTCATTTAACCATGTAACTTTTGTTCAAGTTCTCTTTGATCTTTTTTTTTTTTTTTTGAGTACAATTGTAGGGAAGGGAGTTTGACCTCAGATTATGGGCTTGAGATGCACCAATCAAACCTTTGGGAAGCTCGGGAGCGTTCCGTTTTAATAGATGATATGGAAAAAGTGCTTAAACTAGTTGCTTAAATTACTATTTTGGTCTTTAAATTTTCAATTTTGGAGTATAATGGTTCCTATTCCTGAACTTTGAAAAATATGAAAATAGTCCTTGAATTTGAATTTTTCAGCACCTTTTTCGCCTTAACATTAATGAAAGTGCCTACAATTGTCTCCATAAGTTACCAACAAAGTTTAATTTTTTTAATTCAAAATATATTATGTGGCAATTTTGAAACAATTTTAAATTAATTTTGATGATGTGTACTTTTTTTTTTGTTGGTATTCATATTAGCATATTTGGCAGTGGTCTAAGTACAATCATTTTATATAATTTTTTATACATTTTTTACACAATAGTAATAGATATATTTAATATTATAAGTCTTAAATAAATAAAAATTAAATATTAATTTTTTTATGAATCTAAATAATTTATTATAATAAGAAGTACAGGGGATGCTATGCCCATGAACTCAAGGAAACATTACAAAAAGAACAGCTATGAAGGCATTCCAAAAACTATAAGGAGGAGTGAAAACATGAATGACAAATCTAACTCTTGGTAATTTCTTGAGCACAAACTAGGGGAGTTGCACCAATAGAAAAAGGGAAACACAATGTTAGCAGATCTCCCCTTTATCTATGTAAAAGTCCTTTATTGAATTAAATCAAAAATTCTATCCTCCTCCCATTGTTGTGAGTTATAGACAATAGAGTTCCTTGTGTAACATGGACCATGTAACCACCAAGAAAATCAAGAACTAAACATCATATTTAACTAGCTTTTGGATCCTTAGGTAGTGAGCTTAACAAAGGAGAGAAATTGTATTGGGGAGGGAGAGGGAAATCTCGCATTAGTTGTAGCATCACATCCTAGAACCCTGAATCTTGAAGCATTGAACAAACAAGTGATTATCATCCTCAAAATCCCATTTGCAAATGCAGCAAATATTCTCTGCCTCTTCAAGCTGGATGCCCCTTTTTAGAAGACTTGATTTTATTGGGAGACCATTAAAGAGGAGGTGCCAATCAAAGCAACTGATTTGAGACAAAATCAATTTGCCCCAAAGCCTTTTGCAAATTCTTGGCTCCAATATTCCATTTTGACTAGCAATCAGAGAGTAGGCCTTGCCAACTGTATATCCATTTGCAGCATCAAAACTCTAGGTTCTTTGGCTCGGTTGGGAAGAGAGCACTAACCCACCTAGGAAGATCTCATTTAACCTTTGTTCTTTTTTCCTTTCCCTATGAAATGGTTCATATCTCCAAACATTTTTCCAAATCCAAGAGCCATTAGAAAAATGTCCTACTTCCATAATTGTTACATTCCTATTAGATGCCAAATTAAATAATCTAGGCGAAGAGACATTCAAAGGTTCAGTTCTTACCCATTTGTCCCACTAAAATTTAATTTTGTCTCCCATTCCCAACTTCCAGTAGAATCCATTCCTAAATATCCATAAACCTTTACCCCCCTTGCTTCCTAAGGCCACAATATTCCTTCATAGAGTAGATACATTCCTAACTTGTATTTATTGAATATCCCACACTATACCACCTCTATAATACTTATCTATGATAACTTCCATAAGCTATTCTCTTCCTTCCTAAATATGTCCTACCACTTCCCTAATAAAGCTATATTCCTATACTCAGGATCTAGCACACCTAAACCTCCCTTACTTCTACCTCGACACACTTTCTCTCAACTCAACCATGCTAACTTACTCTTCTCCTCCATATATCCCCACAAGAATTTCCTTTGTAAGCACACTAGATCATGTAGCACATTTAAGGAATTCTAAAAATAGGCATATAGTAGATAGGGAGGGTAGAAAGAATAGATTATAGCACTATAACTTGGCCACCGATTGACAAGCATTCCGCTTTCCAAACTGCCATCTTTTTATTAAAATTATCAATAACTGGAATCCAGGCTTTCCTTTTGCATATAATGTCCCCAATTGGCATTCCAAGATAGGTGAAAGGGAGAGAACCTGATTTGTAGTTAAGACTAGTAACCATCATTCTCCTCCATTCATTAGAAGCATAAAATGAGTACCACACACTTTTGTTGAAATTAATCTTCAAGCTTGAAATCAACTCAAACCATCTCAAAATCCCTTTCACAGCTTTAATATTTCTAGGATTTGCCTTCCCTATAATAGTAGTAACATCAGCAAACTAGAGGTGTGAAATGTTAAAACCAAGGAAGCTTGCATCAATTCCTTGCAGTAATTCCTTGCTAATGGCTAATTCAATCAAAACATTCAAACCCACAACTACAATTAGGAAGAGGAACAAAGCCATTGGATCACCTTATCTAATCCCTTCTCCATTTTGAACTCATCAATTGGGCTTCCATTAACAAGGATTGACATTGAAGCAATTTGCAAACATTCCTTTATCCATAGACTCCATTTTCACCAAAGTTGAGCCTCTTCATCATTTCATCTAAGAAGTCCCAATTCACATAGGCATATGCCTTATCAAAATCTACTTTAAAAATAAAATTGTTATCTGTTTTGCTCCTTATCTCCTTTACCACCTCATTAAGAATCAAGAGGCCATTAGTGATCTGTCTTCTTCCCAAAAAGGAAAATTGTGTCCCATTTTTCACCTTCGATAATACTTTCTTAATCTTGTTTTCCAAAACCTTTGAGATGATTTTATAGAGGCTACTTATCAAGCTGATAGCCCTATAGTCTTTTAAATCTACAAGATTAGGTTTTTTTTAGAACTAGAACAATAAATGAAGAATTTAGCCCTTTTACTAGCTTGCCATTTCTAGAAAACTCCTACACAAAATCAACAATATCTTTCTCAATCACTCTTTAGAAAGATTTAATAAGATGGAAGTTGAAATTGTTAGGACCTGGAGACTTATCCCCTCCACATTCCCACATTGCTTGTTTCACCTCTTTCGTTGACACATCCCTTTCTAGCCAAACTTCGTCTTCATCAGTTAACGATTTAAATTGTAATCCATCAAGCTTTGGCCTATCCCACTGCTCTTCTTGAAAGATTTTTTGAAATATTCATGCACTTCTTGTTTCACAATGCTGGGTTCCTCCACCAAAGAACCATCTTTATGAATGCCTCGAATCAATTTTCTCAACCTATTACCACTAGCTATTCTATGGAATAACTTGTAATTAACGTCTCCTTGCTGGACCCAATCAAGCTTTGTCTTTTGTTTCCATGCCATTTCTTTCCTTTTGCCATGCTTCCCATAATTCACTAAATCCCTCCCTTCTCAATAAAATGTCTTCCTCTTATATTTTGTTGTCCTCATTCTTATTATCTACTTCTTTGATTTTAGCTTCTGCCTCAACTATTTGATTTTCAAAATTTCCAAAGACTTCAAGATTTCATTTCTTCAAGTTATTCCTTAATTGTTTAAACTTCTCTTTGCACACAAATCCCTTCCATCCCCAAAATTAAATATTTAAATGATACATAAAAGTATACTAAAAATTGATAAAGAAATTTATTCTCCAATTATTTTTCTTAGCGTATTTTAATCTTATGTGGATAGTTGGATTTATTTATCTTATAGTATGTTTGAGTTGAGAAAAATGGTTTAGAAGAGAGAATTTCTTAATTAATTAAATTATAATATCTAAAGACATTATAATTTGATTAGTTAAAAAACTCTCTCCTCCTTTTTCTTCCCCTCTATTCCTCTCAATCCAAGCATACTATTAATAAAATCTAATTAATATAATTTAAAGTGTTAAAATTCACTTATACACATCTTAGCCCCATGACACCACACTTAGGATACATTTGAGATTGCAGTTGAAAACTTTTTTGTGTAACCATGTAGTACTTTTGGATATATATGTGTTTGGTAATTCTTTTTTAAATTGTTTTTTTTTAAGTTACAAAAAATTACAATAGATCTATAGTAATTTTATATATAAAGTAAAAAGTCTCATTTTGAAACTTTCTAATTGTTACTTTTATGAAAAATATATAATATTTAATATAATTATAAAATTACCCATTAGAACCCAACTTCATATAATTTAATTACATCATAATTTATAATATTTTAATAATTATAACAAATTTAAAAACCTTAAATTATTAAAAAATAGTAAATATGATCTATTTTAATAATTATCTATCTTACAATATTTTTAAAATTTTAATTAATAATTAATAAAATTTATCATATTTCATTTATAATACTTTTAAAAAATAAATAACC